TATCACATTAATAATTTTAATTAATTAATAATTATATTTTTATATGAGTTAATTAAAAATATATAATAATTACCATATAATCTTTCTCTTAAACACACAAAATAAAACAATTCATATTAATAATTAAAAATATAACAATAACATTGCTTCTCTCGCCCATCCCTCCCACATTAAACACACGTCATTATTAACCTAAACGCTGTCCGAGCGTTAGTAATCATTTTACGCGGTCCAAATGGATTTGAGTGGGTTCCACTGCCGTGTAACGACCCCGGATTGGAGGGGACGAAAGTACGAAATTAAGTTTTTAATTAGATAGTAATTATTTTGTTTATTGGTTTGTTTTGTCCATAATCTTGATCTGCGACCCCAATAATTCTAAAGGGAGATCGGTACATAACAGCTATTAGATCAATTATTTTTTTGGGGTCAAAAGGCACGTTTTCTTTTGTTTTCCCTGTTTGCTTAATGCTTGGGTAGGAAAAGAAATTACCCATCTCTCAACTTAAATTTTTTTTTTATATTAACTTTTTAGTAATTATATTGAATTTCAATTATTTTTTAATGAGTCATATCAAATTTTATAAAAAAAAAAAAACTTTTGGACCTCATAAAAAAAAAACTCTCATAATACATACTTCTCCATTTATAAAATTTAAATTTAAAATTTTATTTAAAGAGAACTAAATTTTTTTTTACTTATATTAACAGGTCTTTGGCCTTTTCAATTTGATTTGATTAGTAAAATAATGCACTCAAATTTGGTTTCTCATAATTTTGCTATGTAGCTGCAGTTGAGTCTTTATTTATTTTTTTTTGAACAAATTTACAATGGGTCGAATTCGAACTCTTACCCTAACAATAGGAGGAACGCCCTTATATGTTGCCTAACGTCACTGGACCCGAATGCCCAAATGTGAGTCTTTAATTTTATTTGATATAGTAAAATATGGGAATTAATATATATTACTTATTTAATGTTGTATTATAGTAGTATATTTTATCTCTCCTACCTTATTTGGAAAAGCATTTGTTGAAAGGAAAAGAACCGAAGAATAAAAGAAGGTTGGTTCTTAGTTGTCTAACATTATGACATCCTGTTTTAAACTTCAATTGAATCTACAATTGAAAATGAATCAAATGATAGAATCGAAATTGAATTTTGAATAATTATAATCTCATTCTAGGGTTATAATTTTTTTTTTTTGAACAGTGGGAAACTTTTTTGTTTTTTTTCGGGGAAAGGGAAGGGATCTGGGATTTGATCCTAAGTCTCATTAGTCCTACGCACGTCCGCAAGGGGGTGGCCAATAGGCC